TCTTGTGAGTGCACGTTGCACAGGCCATCAAACAGCGGCCGCTTCTCGATCGCCCAAGGCGTGATGCCAGTGTTTGAAATCACCCAAAACCTCCATCTCAGTGATTGAGTCTACTTCCGGAATGAACGGGCTGAATAGGGTCCCCTTTTTCGTTTTTCTCCCTCACAGACGCACTTTTGGCATCTACTCTCCAACGTATCAACTTTTGCGATAACTGCCTCAAAGGAGAAGTGGTGCCCTGTTTGTGTAATCGAAAGCGTAGCTGCCTAAAAGCGAAAAGCGGATTCGATTCCTGCCTAATGTGCAGTTGTTTCCACGGCCTAGCATCACTGTGATAGCTTGTTTGATTGTTTCATTATAATGAATAATGGGTGAACAATCGAGGTGATCCATAAACCAAGTGCTTGGCAACAACCAAAGTGCAAGTCTCCTCGAGCTACACCTCAAAAAAAAATTACGAAGAATTCTGACTTGTCAGAGGGCTCTTTTTGGGGTGAAAGTTAATTAAAGGGCGCGAAACCTATTTTTTTTTTACTTTTTTGAAAGAAAATCAGCGTGTATTATTATGACATTTGCGTGTGGCGATGTAGTACAGCTACGAGCTCTTGTGCAGCCAGGCTGTTCTTATAGATCGACGGCTTGTTCGTCTTGTACACTCATTGTGCCAGGTGATAAGTTCATTGTTTCAGCTGAGAACAATCGAGGATACCCAAATGGCGAAGGAGATTGAAGAATTAAGGAGACGGTGCAAGCTTCAAGAAAACCGAATATTTGAACTGGAGTGAGAAGGTATGTAGAACGTATTTTTCATTTCAGTGAACCTCATAACAGAATGTGGCGCGGTACGTGTTTCACACAAAAAGATGTGTTGAAAATAGGTCTGTTGCCGTTAGGCACAATGCACTACTTGGCCATGAATGTTGGAATGTCTTCCGAAATTCATGGATCGCACAGATATGAATCAAAAGGCAAAGTTGTGAAGGAGGAGGCCTTGTGAGATGGTAGCGCATTAGATTCTATGCAATTGCATCCATTTACAGTCAAAAGTATGTCAGAAATTTTTGTTTCACGGGATCGCACTTTATGGATCACACTTTCTTTCCCACCTTTTCTTGGTTCCTTGACGTATTTGTCCCGCAAGGCCTGGTTCACATTGAAATTGGTAATAAAATTTTGTGTTAGGAACGTGCAGCTTGTGAACATTACTACTTGTTGTATGATGGCCTCGTATGCGCTACAGTTCTTCTTCCTGGGCAAGATGTCGACATTGCAATGAATTTTTTAGTATTTAACACGTTGACGACAACGCGCGTTTTGGGTTTTTGCACCGCGTGGGACCACGGCGATTTTGCAGGCGCCGCCGCCTCACATCAAATCCGTGAATTTTGAGCTTTAAATACCCAAAACTCGGATGCAACAAAATGTTAGAATGATATTCGATGTGTCAAACTTATCAGAAGGGACAACTGTAAAAAATCGATCGAATTGACGTTTTCTGGCGATGAAAGGCAAGTTTCAGTTGCTTTTGCTGCAGTGAACCTCAAAATTATTTTTGACGCGGTTGCTCCTCTAAAAACATATGTCTTGCTATATGTGTGGGTCTGTACTTACTTCTACTGCTCTTTTTATGACCAAGATTATCAGAATATAAAGGAAACTAGGAATGAACACAATTGGGAAATTCGTAGGGCTTAGAAAACCTTCGCTAAAAAGGAGCATATTCAACCATTCAATGAACCTCGCCGTGTCTAGTCATATTATGGTGTAGTCTATGGAATAGATGCAAAAAATTAGAAAAGAAGTAGCGCATGCGCGAAAAAAATAAATATTTTGTGTGTGCAGCGCATGCGCTGCACACGGTCCCACACGGTGCTCAAGGTGTGATGCGCATGCGCTGCACAATGTCGTCAACGTGTTAAATAAGAAAGAATTTGATGTTCAAATGAATTTCAACATTCCTCCACACTCTTTTCAAAGCATGCGGGGCTCAGAAAAAGGACAAGGCTGAAGAACTCGCGAGTGGGGATTCGAATGTTTCTTCATATAGTACCAGAATGATCCCTCCGGCAACCGATGGAATCCACACCCCTGTTTTCAGATTTGTGATGATGTGGACGAGTCGGAGAGTAAGCTCAGAAGGAGAATTGTCGAGCTGGAGAAAGAGATTTCTGCTCAGAAAGTGTCCCCAATGAAAACAAAAGTGACAGCTCCTCGCCTTCTTGATGCTCTTCAACACAGGTTTGCATTTTTAGCTTGAAGCGTGCCTCGCTCTTCTTTTTCACTATGTCTTTTTACTTGTTCTTGCTCACTTCTCTCCACCCTTTTCTTTTTCTTTCACTATCACTTTTTCCAGTTTCTCTTCCCGCTTTGCCATAGTTTTTATTCACCTTTCTTTTCGTTCTGACTTACCTCTCAACAAATCACTTATTATTGGTTAGAGGCAGCACTTATGAAAAGGGGTGCCATAAAAGTAAAGGCGGCTGGAAGCAGCAGGCTGACAGCAAAGAAAGCGCGGTGTGGTATTTTCATGGCAAGACAGCTGCAGCGCACTATGGCTGCAAACCTATAAACATGACGCTTAAACCCACTCCGCCCACCTCTGCTTTGCAAGTAGGTGATCATTCACCTTCTATTTGTGTGTCTTATCTGGCGGAGCGTTTTAATCGGAACGAGGACCCGCAAAGTGTGTGTGAGCAGTGGAAGGCAGCTTAGCGGTCAAAAGAAAGCAGGTACTTCCAGTGGCCGTATCGTTTGACTTCTCTGTGCAGTGCCTTATCAATCAAAGCATGGATGTATGTTGGCATGATGGGGGCTTTAGGTAACACGAGCAAACGACTACTTACTTGGTTGCTGGCTCGTCCATTGTTGAAGGTGGACGGGCAAAGAAATGGGTCCAATTTTACTTGTTATAGGAACTTGGTTTTTTGTTGTGCTAGTGGCGCACCATTAGTACTCTTTTACCGCTCTAATCCCACTCAGTATCTGTCGCTGCCTTGAAATATTTAATATACATGGGCCGGATCACCGCTGAATGCCATCGCACTTTACAAAATATTTCACTTAAAGGAGGATTGCACGGAAAGAACGAAGGTCGAAGAAGGGAGAAATCGCCTAGTGGGGAGAGCGGTGAATCTCTTGAGGGTGCGGACAGACACGCAATCGGCATCGAAAGATTTGACCTCTGAGATCTAGCATGGCTCAAAGTTGGCGAGTTCGGCGATCTCCGCCCACCGATCGTCTGATCACTCGCCGTAGTACAATAGGTGGCGAGTGATTAGATAGCTGAGAGAGCGTAGGGTTGAAGAGGGCAAAGCGATGAGAGTCCCATCAATGCTCAAATCAACGGACAAGGAAGGGGTCCCATTTCTCCGGTTCTGGGCCGTTTTTCGTGGTTTCGCTTTCTTTCTGGTACTACTCACCATCTCTACCTCAATTTGGAATGGGTTGCTTTTCCATCGTAAATTCGTCCTTTAAAGGAGGATTGCACGGAAAGAACGAAGGTCGAAGAAGGGAGAAATCGCCTAGTGGGGAGAGCGGTGAATCTCTTGAGGGTGCGGACAGACACGCAATCGGCATCGAAAGATTTGACCTCTGAGATCTAGCATGGCTCAAAGTTGGCGAGTTCGGCGATCTCCGCCCACCGATCGTCTGATCACTCGCCGTAGTACAATAGGTGGCGAGTGATTAGATAGCTGAGAGAGCGTAGGGTTGAAGAGGGCAAAGCGATGAGAGTCCCATCAATGCTCAAATCAACGGACAAGGAAGGGGTCCCATTTCTCCGGTTCTGGGCCGTTTTTCGTGGTTTCGCTTTCTTTCTGGTACTACTCACCATCTCTACCTCAATTTGGAATGGGTTGCTTTTCCATCGTAAATTCGTCCTTTAAGTGAGTATTTTCAGAGAAGTGGATGATGATAGGGAAGAAGAACGAATAGAAGCTGGCAAGGTAAACCACGAAAATGGTCCTTTCGGAGTTTAAATTGCAGAGAAAAATGCGATTTCAGGAGCCACCATACGTTTCAGCACCAACATCACCTCAACTGTTACAGAAATCTCTCGATCAAACGGAAGGTCCCATGTATGAGGTGAGTGGTTTATTTTATCTCTAGAAACTGGAACTGGATTGCTCCATAGGCATACCAGCGTGCTGTGCATGCTGGCGCACATATAATGCGAGACTTCGGCAGTATATAAAGCTGTAAAAAGGCTGGCGTTCTGACCCCGTCTCAAGAATATGAGGTTTCTGGCAAAGCACCCTTAATGTGTTCCCAATTCCACCAGAGCCTTGCCTTTTCTTCCTTGCTAGTCTCTGATACACTTTTCCCGGTCTGGGCTGACTCGGAATGGAAATAAACCGCATATGGCGAGCGCCTCTCACTTCTGAGCACGTTTTAGCCACACTGACATCTGATCTCTTCCTCCTGCAACCCAACTATAATACTTTTTGCCCGGTCTGGAACTTGACTCAACTTCAAGACACCATGATACAACTTCCCCCTATGGTGGTTCTTGAGCGCCTTCTTGAAACTTAGACCCCTGTTCCTCGCTCGCCTTTCAGTGACTGTGCGAAGTCACTAGCCACGCTTTCTGAAGGAACAAGGGTTTATAGATGAATTTATTACGCTAAGCCTTATACTGACAAGTTCTTGGTCTTGTCTTAATCGATGTTAAGGCCCAAGTCGATCGTCGATAGAGGTCTTGTCCAAGAAGAGTCTTGTCCACGCGGATCTTGAAGGCAAAAGGTCTCGTAGCACACCCTGCTCTTCTAGGCTCATCATTCGCTTTTATACCTCGTATAACGTCTGCGGAGGCACAGAAATATGTAAGCATAAATTGAAGATAAAACTTTTCCAAGTTAATATGTAAGCTTAGCTAAGGGCTGTCCATAATAGATAAACGTGAATCTAAGAAGACCTTAAAGAGCGAACGTCATAAGTAGAAGGAGAGTGAAAAAGATTCTGTAAGACCATTTCTGGGCGCGGTTTTAACGTGTCCCCTCCTCTCGAAAGGAATCTTTCTCATATTCCATAGATATTATAATCTCAACTGGTCGCAGAGAGGAATCATTCGTGATTAGTAAGTCGTAAGCAGATCCTCTCACGAAGTAAAAAGCACATTTTTGCTGCGAGAAGTGTGCGCAGCGGCTTAGCAAGCCTGTGCGATGAATTTCCTTCGCAGCTGACCGCACCCACCGATTTCCCTATCAGCTTAATGCCCGCTTTAAGGCTGGCGGGCCCCATCCGTTTGGCAGAATAGCAGAAATCAGGTCGATGACGTCAGCAACATGAGACTGAAGTCAACGGGGCAACACGGGTTCTGCAAGTTGCAGGTCGTTTCCCATAATTCTTTTCAAATGCTGCATCTCGTAAAAGCTGAACCTTCATTCCTAAGGGGTGGTCAATTTATCGTAAGGTCTGACTTTGAAGCCATGGGTCGTGAAATTTTGGATCGTATATTTATTGGTGAACAATTGTGCAGGGAGATTGTGCGGCCCTAAATAGGTAAAGACTCAATGAGTTTATGTAATGTAAGCAACAACATACCATAAAAAACACCGAAATTCTCTTGTGTGGTATTTTCGTGGCAAGACAGCTGCAGCGCACTATGGCTGCAAACCTATAAACATGACGCTTAAACCCACTCCGCCCACCTCTGCTTTGCAAGTAGGTGATCATTCACCTTCTATTTGTGTGTCTTATCTGGCGGAGCGTTTTAATCGGAACGAGGACCACAAAGTGTGTGAGCAGTGGAAGTAGGTATATGCACCACAAGTGGCAGCTAGAGGTCAAAAGAAGCTAGGTGTTGCTTTTCGCGCACAACGGTTTGCTGGTTGCAGCGTACTAGTGGTCTAAACTTTTTTCTCTCCTCCGCCTCCGCCTATGCTGCGCCCACCAGTGTGTTGCCAGTAGCAGATACTTCCAGTGGCCGTATCGTTTGACTTCTCTGTGCAGTGCCTTATCAATCAAAGCATGGATGTATGTTGGCATGATGGGGGCTTTAGGTAACACGAGCAAACGACTTACTTGGTTGCTGGCTCGTCCATTGTTGAAGGTGGACGGGCAAAGAAATGGGTCCAATTTTACTTGTTATAGGAAACTTTCTGTTTTTTTTTGTGCTAGTGGCGCACCATTAGTACTCTCTTACCGCTCTAATCCCACCCAACATCTGTCGCTGCCTTGAAATATATAATATACATGGGCCGAATCACGCGCAGAATGCATCGCACTTTTACAAAATACTTCCATCGTTCCTTAACATGAGTATTTTCAGAGAAGTGGATGATGATAGGGAGGAAGAACGAATAGAAGCTGGCAAGGTAAACCCACGAAAATGGTCCTTTCGGAGTTTAACTGCAGAGAAAAGTGCCATTTCAGGAGGCACCATACGTTTCAGCACCAACATCACCTCAGTTGTTACAGAAATCTCTCGATCAAACGGAAGGTCCCATGTATGAGGTGAGTGGTTTAATTTTTATCTCTAGAAACTGGAACTGGATTGCTCCATAGGCATACCAGCGTGCTGTGCATGCTGGCGCACATATAATGCGAGACTTCGGCAGTATATAAAGCTGTAAAAAGGCTGGCGTTCTGACCCCGTCTCAAGAATATGAGGTTTCTGGCAAAGCACCCTAAACGCGTTCCATCCACCAGAAGCCTTTGCTTTTCTTCCTTGCTAATCTTTGATGCACTTTTCCCAGTCTGGGCTGACTCGGAATGGAAATAAACCGCATATGGCGAGCGCCTCTCACTTCTGAGCACGTTTTAGCCACTACTGACATCTGATCTCTTCCTCCTGCAACCCAACTATAATACTTTTTGCCCGGTCTGGAACTTGACTCAACTTCAAGACACCATGATACAACTTCCCCCTATGGTGGTTCTTGAGCGCCTTCTTGGAACTTAGACCCCTGTTCTCGCTCGCCTTTCAGTGACTGTTCGAAGTCACTGGCCACGCTTTCTGAAGGAACAAGGGTTTATAGATGAATTTATTACGCTAAGCCTTATAACTGACAAGTTCTTGGTCTTGTCCTTAATCGATGTTAAGGCCCAAGTCGATCGTTTCGATAGAGGTCTTGTCCCAAGAAGAGTCTTGTCCACGCGGATCTTGAAGGCAGAAGGTCTCGTAGCACACCCTGCTCTTCTAGGCTCATCTTCGCTTTTATACCGTAAACGTCGGCGGAGGTCACAGAAATATGTAAGCATAACCCTGAAGATAAAACTTTTCCAAGTGTAATAATGTAAGCATAGCTAAGGTCTGCCAAAAGATAACGAAACTAACCAAAGAGGCGATCACAAAAGTAAAGGAGGAAAGAAAGCTTCTAACCATTTTTGGCGCGTTTAACGACACCCCCTCCAAAGAATCCTTCCAATTCCATAGATATTATAATCTCAACTGGTCGCAGAAGAGAATCATATCTGATATAAGGTAAGCAGATCCTCTCACGAATAAAGGCGCACTTTTGCTGGCGAGAAGTCGGTGCGCGGCGGCTTACCAGCTGTGCCGATGAATTTCCTTGCAGTCTGACCGCCACCACGATTTCCTATCAGCTTAGCCCGCTTTAGGCTGTCGGGCCCCACGTTTTGCAGAATAGTGGAAATCACGTCGATGACGTCAGCAACATGAGACTGAAGTCAACGGGGCAACACGGGTTCTGCAAGTTGCAGGTCGTTTCCCATAATTCTTTTCAAATGCTGCATCTCGTAAAAGCTGAACCTTCATTTTCAAGGGGTGGTCAATTTTATCGTAAGGTCTGACTTTGAAGCTGTTTGGACCTTGAATTGAAATTATTGAAATTGGACAGGAAATGCGCTAAGGAAAGTCAATGAGAGAAAAAAGCAAAAAGTACCATAAAAAACACCGAAATTTCCCTTGTGAGGTCAGCCATGGTGTGAGGGAGAAACACGAGGAGGAAAACGTTAGAGGCTGCAAAAGCCAAGGTGTGCCGCGATTAACAATTGTTTCAGCGGTCGCAGTGGTTGAGCAGGAGCACTGAATCCCTTAACTTTAATTCGCGATAGTATCACCACCCCCTAATTTCCGGCCTTCTATAGAAGAATTTCTCCAAGAATCTAAGCGCGTTCCGTGCCCTAGCCGGCCAGTTCTCAAACAATTGCAAATATTAGTTGAATTTACATCTTATCCCGTTGATCGTCGATTTGCTCGAGCGGGCGCCAGCAACGTCTCCATTCGTCCCTGTCGCGTGCTAGAGTGGTCCAGTGGATCCTCCTCGCTCGAGGGACACGAAGTTTCATTCCTTTCGTTCAGAGCTTTCGTGAAGAAGTCTGACCATCGGGCCGGCGGTCGTCCAGGTGTTCGTTTGACGTCCCGAGGGATCCAGTCGGTAACCGCTCTGGTCCAACGGTCATCGCAAAATCGCATGACGTGTCCGGCCCACCTTATCTTCGATTCCTTGGCGAAAACGGCAGCGTCCCTGATCTTCGATCGTTGGCGTAGTTCGAACTCCGGATTCCCCTCTGCACTTGCGTGTATAGGGTTACTCCTAGCATCGTCCTCTCGACAGCGCGTTGGATAACGCTGACCGCATGCTCGTCCTGCCTGCGCAGAGTCCAAGTCTCTGAGGCGTAGGTTAGGGCAGGAAGGACAGCGGAATCGAAGAGGTGGGCACGGAGCCGGATGTTCTTCGTCTTCTTCACTGTTTTTGTTGGTATCCTGCATGTCGGCACAGCCAAAAGCTTGCATTCAAGTGACTGGGAAGTACATGGGAGGCGATTCGGGGCCGCCTCCAAAAAATAAGCCCCTTGTTCCGCTCCAGGATAGCGTGGCTAACTACCTGGAGGTCTATCCTAGCCCACACGACAGAGCCTGGCAAGCTACAACCGCACACACACAGAGCGCACCACACACGCAAGCATGCATGGATGCGCCTGAGTGGAGACAGCTGGTATGAATCAACACAGCACTACAGAAACAGGGAGTCCATCCCCTGAATCCACCTGCGTCTCAGGGCAAGTACATGGTGGCTTTTGGTCCGCGATTTACCCCCTATCCGCCACCTGGGGTCGCGCCACGTAGCCTCGCCACCAACCGGCTCGAGATCTTTCAGTGAGAGAGGACCCTCAGTGAAAGAGATCCGTGGAAATGACGATCAACGGGACGACAGGTGATACAGGTGAGGTGATGCTGTGATCTGGGCGGTGAACAATCTGATGACCTTTTATGGTAATCGGGTGTTTTGTAAGCTGCAGTCAGCGTCACTCTTCATTTGGGTATCATTCGATTCATTCGTAGCAGAAAAGCGTAAAGCAGAAAGTAGAAGGTAATTTTGAGAACAGCTGACCATGAGCTATCCACAGCTGATCCAAGCCTGTTAGAACCCGTGCGGTCCCTGACATGGAGGGAACCTCGACTCCAAAAATCGTTTGGTTTTATAAAATTGCTTTGCTGAGTTTCATACGATACCTTCCAGGAATCGGTTGTGGAGAGCGCGGCTACACCGAATCGTTCTCTACACACAACACTGTACAAGAGGCTCGATAAAACAGCAAAGCTTAGCGACACACCTGAAAGTAAGGCTAACACGAGTCGATGCGCTCAACAATAATCATCTTGCACGTTTACAAAATAGTCATATAGATCGTACAATGATGTCCGCTGCTCATTTTTGATGTTGGCTTTAACTACTTAATGCTGTTGTATGTAGCTTTAAACTAATTGATTACTCGTGCAAAGAAGTCCTGACTTACTCACTTTCCAGTGTACATTCCATGATTCGTTTCAATTACTCGTCCACTATGTATGTGTGACGTATTTTCCTGTACCATAAAGTTTTATGCATGCGTAGACGAGTTTTCTTGAAATAAAGATAAAGGATAAAGCATTTGCCGTTGATCAATCCCTTTTGGGATGCGGCACGCATTCTACTTCCATTTGTACATTCGTAGTGGCATTTGAATGCGATGCGTGTCAATAGATCGTCCGAAGACCCGCGATAGTGGTCGCAGTCGCGATAATCGCGATGGCGGTGGACGAGCTCCTGTAAGGCCGATGTCAGACTTTGCGAATCGCGCGATTCGCTAGCGTCTGCGGTCGCGTCGCGGCCAGTGAATCACTCAATTGGCTGGTACCGCAACGCGACCGCCGCGGACGCTAGCGAATCGCGCGATTCGCAAAGTCTGACATCGGCCCATAGCCGGCTGCAAGCTTGCCGACTGTGAATGCACTCGCGCGGAATCTGACGCGGACCTAATAGAGATTGCGCTAATACTTTTCTTTAACGAATGCTGCAGTCCAACTGGGTGTACGACGGACTGGGTGTACGGCTAAGCTCTGAAGGGAGGCAAAATCCATACATACCGACAAAGCGACATACCAATAGCGGTTCGTGATGGTGATATGTTGGCAAAAAAGCTAGATGTTCAAAGCACAAACATTAGCGAATTCTAGATAAATTGGTCCATTCTGACGTTTGTGGTTGTGAGTGCGGGGCAAGTTTGCGTAAAGGCGCAATCTGGAGACAAGGCAGTTCTTGGACAGGTGTAGGTGATAAGAAAACGGAAAATTTTTTATCAACGGCCCCCTTCGTCAGCGTTTTGCACGACAAAACATGGCTCAGAAAAGACCGCAGATTGGTTTCGCACACCATTCTCGTAAATATGTAGGCAGCTCAGTCTGATAAGAGAATCAGGTATCAGTAACCGTTTCACATAACAGCTACCAGTACCACAAGGAGTAAACCGGTGGGTAGGGTTGCATCTGCTCAGGGATATACTACTCGTACGGATCACTTTGATTGT